CTCGCAACATTTAAGAACCAGCTAGAGCAGTACTTAAAATGCCAGGGCTTGGTTGCTATGGATCGAGTGCAGGTAAATTAGATTAGAGCAGTTTGGTGTTTGTTCGTCAGCATAGACATGTTGGGCTGAATAGCCTGTTTCTATGCTGTGTGACTCTTTGACAATCTGCCTGGCTTTCTGTCTGTGCTAAAAGACAACCACATTTTGTCATTATCGCCATGCTTTCCCTGCTGTCTTACCAGTGTCCAACTAGTTCAGAGATGGGGAAATTCAGCCCAATATTTCAAAAGCTCAACTTCCACCAATGAAATCAAGGGGTTTGTGAAATCCTACTCCTTAGAAAAACTGAATTATTGACTTACGCTGTTGTTCATGGAGAAAGTGGTATAATTGTTTGCTTTAAGAAGCAACATAAATCATTTGTCTGTAATGCCCCTGCACCATAGATTGGTAATGTCCACTTCACAGCCTGGTATGAGTAGGTGGCATAACAATTCATGGTAGTGGTATTGTTGTTCACCATCAGCAATGCCCAGTGTGGCATGACATTTGGCTACACATCAGACCGTGGTGTTACTCAGTCACCACTTCTGTAATATATCTTGCAAAGCTGCTCAAACATAACAGATTAGCTACATCTCCACCTGCATACGTTCTTTGGAAGAATGGACTCAGTGAACACAATCCTTGGGTGCAATCTCACCTAATTAGTACTTCAGCTTCTCCTTCTCTTCATCCTCCAGAAAACATGAATATTGATCGTATAATATGTGAATGTAGTTGTACCAACCTCCGCCACTCCCACTGGTAACTCATTCTATATAAGCACCATCCTCCGCGTGAAAAAGTTACCCCTTAGGTTCCTTTTAAATCTGTCACTTCTCACCTTAAACCTATACCATCTAGTTTTGTACTCCCTGTTCTGGAAAAAAAGCCTTGACTATTCACCCTATCCATGCCTGTCATGGTTTTATAAACCTCCATAAAGTCACCCCTCAGCCTCTGGCACTTTGGGTATAATAGCCCTAGCCTATTCAGCCTCTCCCTATTCAAATTCTCCAACCTGGGCAACATCCTTGTAAATTTTTCTGAACTCTTTCATGTTCAACAACATCTTTCCTACAGCAGGGAGGGACTAGAATTGAACGCAGTATTCTGAAAGTAGCATAACCAATATCCTCTACAACTACGACATGACCTCCCAACTCCTATACTCAATGCACTGACCAATAAAGGCAAGCATATTAAACGCCTTCTTCACCACCCTGTCTACCTGCACAACCGCCTCAAGGAACTATGATCTCTGCAGATGTTCCTCAGGATAGGGTTTTTGACTCAACTGCTTTGTCAAGTCCTTCCCTCCATCGTAATTCAGAAGGAGGGATGTTTGCTGATGATTGCACAAAGTTCAACACCCTTCCCCACTTCTCAAATACTAAAGCAAGTCCTGTGCAACATCAAGGTTTGGACTGCCAAGTGGCAAGTTTTTACACATAAGTATCAGGTAATAACCATCTCCAGCATGAGACAACCTAAGCATCACCCCATAATGTTCAATGGCATTACCTCTACTGAATCCCCCACAATGTTCCCATCGACTAGAAACTGACTATGGTGGCTACAAGAGCAGGTCAGAGGCTAGGAATGCTGTGGTGAGTAACTCACCTCCTGAATCCACAAAGGCTGTCCACCGTCTAAGAGAAACAGATCAGGAGTGTGAAGGAAAATTCCTGTCTTGTCTGGATGGGTGCAGCTCCAGCAACACTCAAGATGCTGGACACCATCTCGGCCAAAGGAGCCCACTTGATTGATAACCCATCCAGCGCATGCTTTTCCAAAAGCCGGGAATTTCAAAACTGGAGGGGGTAATTTAAGGTGACAGGGGAAAAGTTTATAAAGGACCTAAGGGGCAACTTTTTCACACAGTGGGTGATGCATGTGTGGAATGTGCTGCCACAAGAAGTCGTACAGGCTGGTACAATTAAAATGTTTAAAAGGCATGTGGATGGGTATATGAATAGGAAGGGATATGGGCCAAATGCTGGCAAATGGGACTAGATTAACTTAAGATATCTGGTTGGCATGGACGAGTTCGACCAAAGGGTCTGTTTCCACGCTGTACATCTCTATGACTCTATAATTCTATTTGGTGGATCATGACATTTAATGCACACCATAAAATTATTGAGTGGGAGAATCAGATTGTTCAAAACAGATGGGTTTATTTTCCCAACAACCTCTTCTTGTCCTGGAATATTTTATGCTCATATTCTCAACATAAAATAAAATATAATAAGCATTTAGTATAATAAGCATTTTACATTATTCTTAGTAAACCTTTTACTGTGGTTAAAATTTAACTTTGTTTTTATATGACAAATTCTGCACCTTAACCTATGTCAGCACAGATTTGTAGTAAGGTCCAATGAATTGTACTTTACCCTGCATCAACCAGGTTTTTAGTGAGGTTAATTTTAACAGAGATTTTGTTCAATTTCTACTACAGGCATTCATATAGGAACTGACGAATGTGCAATGCTTAAATCTCTTCATAACCTCATGATCCATTCCTCTGTCTCTGCCATTTGTGTAACTGGGAATTACGGCTTTTGGGACCCATATTCTGGAATTGCCTCCTTAAACTGCTCTCCCTCTTGCTCCTTTTTTCAAGACCCTCCTGAAAATCAGATTTTGCCAAAATAATCCCAGAAATTAAAGGGTTTTACTTTGAGGGCATTAAAATTGTATTCCTTGTGTTTAGAAAGTTCAAAGTGATTTAATATTTATAGCAATCAATTGATAAGGTGGAACAGCATTTGTATCTTATTGCTGCGTTTCTTTACCAATTAGAGCAGGCAGGTGCAATGATGATCCTGCTGGTGTTTTATTTTTATTTACTCATAGGATGTGGTTGTCACTGGCCCAGCATTTCCTGTCCATCTGTAATTGCCCTAAAGAAGGAGATGGTGAGATTCATTGAGAAATACTGCAGTCCTTGGTGTGTAGAGCTTTTAAATCTTTCCCCTCTTACCTTTAACCTATGCCCTCTAGTTTTGGACTCCCCTAACCCAGGGAAAAAACCTTGGCTATTCACCCTATACATGCCCCTCAAGATTTAAGGTCACCCCTCAGCCTCTGAGGCTCCAGGGAAAATAGCCCCAGCTTATTCAGCATCTCCCTGTAACTCAAATCCTCCAACCCTGGCAATACCCTAGTCAATCTTTTCTGAATCCTTTCAAGTTTCACAACATCCTTCCCGTAGCAGGTTACAATGACGTTAGAACTGCTATTCTCGAAAGTGGTGGTGTTGAAAATACAGGAGTATATCTTATAAATTAGTCATTATGAATGAAAATCATTTGCACTACACTGGGCTTCTCCACATTATTCTTGTGTTCTCCCTTTTGTGTGTAATTCATAGGCCTACTCCATAATTACCACAACACAACAATTTTAATAAAGGAAATAAGGAACTAAAATAAGAAGCATTCCAAACATTGAAAACATGGAATATGTATGACAGATATAGACTAGTAACTTTGCTTTTTAGTACCATGAATAAAAATAAAGTCACTTATTACAGTGGACATCAACACAGTGTTATCTGATATTACTCAATGTTTGGAAATAAAGAGAAATTGATTTTGATACATTTAGACTTAAAAACACCCAATTGAAATTGAAATTAAACGGACGTAAATTCATTAACAGTAAATGTTAAGAAGCACCAGACAACCATTTCCCTTCGTTTGAGCTAAATACAATCTGAATTTGTCAGCTTTTCCAGAAAATTAGCTATCAATGGTTAATCATGGATCAGATGAGAATTCTAGTCAAAAAGTTCATTTAATGATATTCACAGGCCAGATGATAAAGGCACCTGCAAGAACCATTTTTCGTTGTGTGTTAAGGAAATAAATGGTTTAATTTATGTTTGAGATAATAAAAGAAGATCACAAGGTAAGAGAACACTGGTGGTTCTTTCCAATGTAGTCCTGTGAAGCCCTTGAGAGTAATTACTACTTAGTTCATTACTAGATCTTCAAAACCAGAAGGTTGACTGACACAAAGATCTGTTTCTTCTTTGCTTTTCCTATTTGTCAATTTTTGTGAACCATACATGCAAATTTATCCTGCGATTGTCTCTATCTGCACACGATCTGGCCTTCAGGAGTCAACATAGTACCAACCAATAAACCATTTAACCAATAAAAAGTAGCTATTGCTACTTCAGTTAATCTACCTGAGTAACTGAAACACCTCTTATGCTTAGAGTTCCTTGATTCTTGATCACCTCCCTGTAGGAAGTGCATTTATTTGTTAATCACATGAGGACAGGACTTGAGATTGACACTGATGCCTTCTACAGGTGAATAGCTACCAAATTTTATTCTTTGGATTTTTCTATTCATCCACGGGAAGTGGGTGTCACTGGCCAAGCCTAATTACCCAAAGGGCAGCTAAGAGTCATCCACACTGGTGGTCTGGAGTCACAAGTAGGCCAGGCCAAGTAAGGACAGCAGTTTCCTTCCCTAAAAGGACATTAGTCAACTAAATGGGCTTGTTCTGGCAATCAACAATAGTCATCATTAGACTCTTAATTCCAGATTTTTACCAAATTCATATTCCACCATCTGTCATGGCACTATTCAAACCCAGGACTCCCAATCATTTCGTGGGTTTCTGCGTTAATAAACTAGAGATAATACCACCGGACTATTACCTCCCCTCAAAAAAATCACACAAAAGATGGGTAATTTGAGAGAGGCACATTCAGAAGATCCATGTTTGTGGAATTCTGCAGCAAAATTTGCAAGAAAAGAGAAATCGAATTTGAAAAAGGGAAATCATCTACTTTTATTCCTCATCTATCAATGAATAACTTCATATCAAAGGTTACAGAGATACTGGAAATTTATTGAACTGGAGGTTTTCAAGGTAACCAAAGGTAAATAAATCAGGAAGTGTGACTTTGAAACAACAGATAAACGTCATAAAGAGCTATTTAAAACAATAGGCGCTGGTTTATACCTGATACAAAGTTATTTCCTGCACGCAGTGAACAATATCTTTGCTTCTACAACTGTTCAATAACAAATCCACAGTAAGTACAGACATTCCTAATGTATTAAATATCACTTTGGGAAAATATCTGAATTGAAGTAAGATGAAGCATTTGATAATCTAAATTAGTTACTTAGTTTGCCTTCAAGAATTTAAACAATCTTTTCAGAAATATTATGATACAAACATATATTAACTCAGATGTTTCTCAATCTAGAGAAAAAAAGACTACATCGATTTGCAATGGAGAAGATACCACGTGTGAATATGGGGGAACGTGATAGACAGGTATATGGAGTGTACACTTATCCCCCAACACATTCACACAACCCAGGATCACAACTGGGACACTCTCAAGAGATAACAAGGTGTAGAGCTGAATGAACACAGCAGGCCAAGCAGCACCAGAGGAGCAGGAAGGGTGACGTTTCGGGCCTAGACCCTTCTTCAGAAATGGGGGAGTGGAAGGGGGTTCTGAAATAAATAGGGAGAGAGGGGGAGGCAGATAGAAGATTGATAGAGGAGAAGGTAGATGGAGAGGAGACAGACAGGTCAAAGAGGCAGGGATGGAGCCAGTAAAGGTGAGTGTAGGTGGGGAGGTAGGGAGGAGATAGGTCAGTCCAGGGAGGATGGACAGGTCAAGGGGGCGGGATGAGGTTAGTAGGTAGGAGATGGGGGTGGGGCTTGGGGTGGGAGGAGGGGACAGGTGGGAGGAAGGACAGGTTAGGGAGGCGGGGACAAGCTGGGCTGGTTAGGGGGTAGGGGGAGGGGAGATTTTGAAGCTTATGAAGTCCACATTGATACCATTGGGCTGCGGGGTTCCCAAGCGGAATATGAGTTGCTGTTCCTGCAACCTTCGGGTAGCATCGTTGTGGCACTGCAGGAGGCCCAGGATGGACATGTCATCTGAGGAATGGGAGGGGGAGTTGAAATGGTTCGCGACTGGGAGGTGCAGTTGTTTATTGCGAACCGAGCGTAGGTGTTCTGCAAAGTGGTCCCCAAGCCTCCGCTTGGTTTCCCCGATGTAGAGGAGGCCACAACAGGAACAGCGGATGTGCAGATGTGCAGGTGAACATCTGCTTGATGTGGAAAGTCTTCTTGGGGCCTGGGATGGGGGTGAGGGAGGAGGTGTAGGGGCAGGTGTAGCACTTCCTGCGGTTGCAGGGAAAAGTGCCGGGTGAGGTGGGGCTAGAGGGGAGTGTGGAGCGGACAAGGGAGTCCCGGAGAGAGTGGTCCCTCTGGAAAGCAGATAAGGGTGGAGAGGGAAAAATGTCTTTGGTGGTGGGGTTGGATTGCAGATGGCGGAAGTGTCGGAGGATGATGCGTTGGATCCGGAGGTTGGTGGGGTGGTACGTGAGGACGAGGGGGATTCTGTTTTGGTTGTTATTGTGGGGAGGGGGTGTGAGGAGTGAGTTGCGGGAAATGCGGGAGACACAGTTGAGGGTGTTTTCGACCACTGAGGGGGGGAAGTTGCGGTCCTTGAAAAATGAGGACATCTGAAAGCAATGGGGGTGAAATGCCTCATCCCGGGAAGAGATGCAGCCGAGGCCGGAGGAATTGGGAATAGGGAATGGCATTTTTGCAGGAAGGTGGGTGGGAGGAGGTGTATTCTAGGTAGCTGTGGGAGTCGGTGGGCTTGAAATGGATATCGGTTTCTAGGTGGTTGCCAGAGATGGAGACAGAGAGGTCCAGGAAGCAGAGAGAAGTATTAGAGATGGTCCAGGTGAACTTAAGGTTGGGGTGGAAGGTGTTGGTGAAGTGGATGAACTGTTCAAGCTCCTCGTGGGAGCACGAGGCGGCGCCGATACAGTCATCAATGTAATGGAGGAAGAGGTGGGGTTTAGGGCCAGTGTAGGTACGGAAGAGGGATTGTTCCACGTAACCTACAAAGAGGCAGGCGTAGCTTGGGCCCATGCGGGTACCCATGGCTACCCCCTTTGTCTGTAGGAAGTAGGAGGAATTGAAAGAGAAGTTGTTGAGGGTGAGGACGAGTTCGGCTAAGCGGATGACGGTGTCAGTGGAGGGGGACTGTTCGAGCCTGCGGGACAGGAAGAAGTGGAGGGCCTTTAGGCCATCTGTATGGGGAATGCAGGTGTATAGGGACTGGACGTCCATGGTAAAGATGAGGTGTTGGGGACCAGGGAATTGGAAGTTCTGGAGGAGGTGGAGGGCGTGGGTGGTGTCACGGACGTAGGTAGGGAGTTCCTGGACGAAGGGGGAGAAAATGGAGTCGAGATAAGTGGAGATAAGTTCGGTGGGGCAGGAGCAGGCGGAGACAATGGGTCGACTAGGTTAGGCAGGTTTGTGGATTTTGGGAAGGAGATAGAAGCAGGTGGTGCGGGGTTGGGGAACGATGAGGTTGGAGGCTGTGGGTGGGAGATCACCTGAGGTGATGAGGTTGTGGATGGTTTGGGAGATGATGGTTTGGTGGTCAGGGGTGGGGTCATGATCAAGGGGGCGGTAGGAGGAGGTGTCAGAGAGTTGGCGTCTGGCCTCGGCGATGTAGAGGTCAGTGCGCCATGCTACAACTGCGCCTCCCTTATCCGCGGGTTTTATGGTGAGGTTGGGATTGGAGCGGAGGGCTGCACGTTTTGTGGGGGAGATGCTGGAGTGGGTGAGACGGGTGGAGAGGTTGAGGCGATTAATGTCTCAACGACAGTTGGAGATGAAGAGGTCGAGGGAGGGTAGGAGGCCTTTGGGTGGTGTCCAGGTGGAGGGGGTGTGTTGGAGGCGGGAGAAAGGGTCAGTGGAGGGAGGGTTAGGCTCACGGTTGAAGAAGTAAGCGTGGAGGCGGAGGCGGCGGAAAAACTGCTGAACGTCCAAGCGTGACCGGTATTCGTTGATGTGTGGGTGGAGGGGGACAAAGGTGAGCCCTTTACTGAGGACTGACCATTCGTCCTCAGTAAGGGGGAGGTCTTGGGGGGATGGTGAAGACTCGGCAGGGCTGAGTGTTGCTGTCTCCTCTGGAGCTGCTGGCTATGGAGGCAGTGGGCGGAGCGACATCGGCGTCGGCGGTGGGCGGAGTTGCGTCGGCATTGACGGTGGGCAGAGTTGCGTTGGCATCGGCGGTGGGCGGAGTTGCGTCGGCTGTGGTCGGAGTTGTGTCGGCGTCGGTGGGCGGAGTTGTGTTGGCGTCGGCGTTGGGCAGAATTGCGTCGGCATCGGTGGTGGGCGGACTTGCGTCGGCTGTGGGCGGGGTTGTGTCAGCGATGGTGGGCGGAGTTGCATAGCGTAGATGGTGGGCAGAGTTGCGTCGGCATCGGTGGTGGGCGGAGTTGCGTCGGCTGTGGGCGGGGTTGTGTCGGCGATGGTGGGCGGAGTTGTGTCGGCGTCGGCGGTGGGCGGAGTTGCGTCGGCGTTGACGGTGGGCAGAGTTGCGTCGGCATCGGTGGTGGGCGGAGTTGCGTCGGCGGTGGGCGGAGCGGTGTAGGCAGCGGCAGCAGCGGTGACAGTAGGTGCGTCCTCAGTGTCTCTGGTGTTGGCCTCGGAAATGGAGGCGGTGGCATCAGCAGTGGTGTCGATGGCGTTCGCTGTCCCGGAATTGGTGTACCCGGCGGCGGAGGATGTGACGTCATCCGTGAGTGCTCCGACCGTGGCCACATGGCCAATGGTGGTGGGCACATTGTGGGGAAGATCCTGGGTAGGGTTGGGGATTTGGGGGGTGGAGGACGCCTGTTTTGGGTGGTAGGCACCAGTAAGTTTACTGTACTTACGGTTTTTAGTGTCCAACAAAGCTGAGTAGAATTGTGAGTTCAGGTTGTGGATCCTACAAAGAATAAAAAACAGGAGAGGTCCTTTGCAGGTCTGGGAGAGGGAGGGTCAGAGCTGGGGTAGGCTTCATTGTAGTGCTCGGAGATGCCGGCGCATTGCTGCGAGTGTGTGTTTCAGGAGTCGCAGGGAGAAACACTTCTGAAGGATCTCAATGTTCTGAATGTAGACATTGTCACGCTTGGAGCCAAATTGGGAAGGCCTGAATGTGGACAGTAGACCATGGGGGATGATCTGGTTCCATAGGCAGGTACTAAGAAAGGTGATGTGGCTGTAGTACCTGGTTTGCTTCAGGACGTGGTCGAACAGTTTCAAGGCCGAAGAGATTACGAGAGAGTTGCAGTGGGAGAGAGATCCACTGACATTGTTTCGGAGGGAGGAGGGTAACTTCTTCAGGGTAGGCATCCTTAGAAGAGGCTTCGCAGTGGGGTTAAAATTGTTTCAGAGATAGCAGGAACTGCAGATGCTGGAGAATCTGAGATAACAGGGTGTAGAGCTGGATGAACACAGCAGGCCAAGCAGCATCAGAGGAGCAGGAAGGCTGATGTTTCGGGCCTAGACCCTTCTTCAGAAATGGGGAGGGGAAGGGGGTACTAAAATAAATAGGGAGAGAGGGGGAGGCGGATAGAAGATGGATAGAGGAGAAGATAGGTGGAGAGGAATCAGACAGGTCAAAGAGGCGGGGATTGGTCCAACCCTGAAACATCAGCCTTCCTGCTCCTCTGATGCTGCTTGGCCTGCTGTGTTCATCCAGCTCTACCTTTGTTATCTCAGATTCTCTAGCATCTGCAGTTCCTGCTATCTCTGGGACACTCTCAAGCCAGTCATCAACAGGCTATCTTTCTCAGGTATACCCTGCTCCAAGGAACCCACCTCAGGATTACTCACTGCCGGGGGGCCACCCTGCAAATGAACCAAATCAAGGCTCCACAGGGGCTTCTCCACAATCGTTCATTGATGCACCTCCGGAATATCAAAATGAATTTGCCAATGAAACAGCAAAGAACTTCTCAGAGAAAGTCATAAGGAGAGGTAAGTCTTTCTCCTATTTGATAAATAAGACAGTATTCTCTCTCTTTGTAGAGTCATTCAGATCTGACGCTTGATAATATTGGCTCAATGATACCATGATATTACAATTAGGCAAGTAGAGGAGGCATACTCCAAGGGCTGCTTCAATCAATTGTGCAAACAGAGCCAGAACTCTAGCCTGTGGCAGAATCACCAGAACTGATTCCATTCTAAAAATATATTTAAAATATTAGTAATATTACAAAGTGCAAAGGTGTGAACACAGTCCTCAGAATAATAAATTCAGACAATAAACATTCAGATTTTCTTAAAGCTTTGGGTAATTATTCCTTGGAAAGCCTGCAGTCAAATTATATTTATTGATCTGTTGATGTGAATATCTTTATAATGATTAGAAATAAATTTGAAAATAACTGTCATAAAAATTAGCTTTATATATAATAATACAGAACAGATATTGCGGAATGTGTGATTTTAACCAGTGTACATGTGCCAACGGCCATTTTGACTGCCATTTTAGCATTTGGACCAATTACTCCAAAGCAGTGATGACTAAATAGAATTTGACTCCAAAATTCAGCATGAACATGACATAAACGTGAATTAACGGGTAACCTGTACTCAAACACCCCGTGGTCTACATTTTAATTGGTTTACGTGGTCAAGACCACTCTCAATATTAATGATGCTGTGAGTCACCGAATCTCCTTTGGCTCTGTTCTTGCTATTTTCTAATGCCTGCTAGACATTCGCAGTGTTCCCCCCTCCCTCTGCCATTCTCCAGGTACATTTTAACCTCTGCATCCACAAGTCCAATCTGATTGAACTTCAATCCACTTTAGTAACAATGACTGGCCTGGTCATCTGGCTTGACCATTAAAAAAAATCAGAAGTAATATGAAAACAGAAAATTGCTGGAAATACTCAGCATCAGGCCAGGCAGCATCAGCAGGGGAACAAACAGTTAATGTTTCAAGTCAATGATCTTTTATCAGAATTCAAATAATATCAGGTCTTGCTTCCTATAGTTTGGCTGTCTTGTTATTTCAGAATCATACTTGAGGGCAAATATAATCTGGACTCCTTTTCTCAATGATTAATCTCCCTGTTCAGGCCTTAAATCCATTCCAATTCATATTTTACCCAAGAAATTGAGGACTTCTTTGGTTCAAAGGTAAAGCCTGTCCACATGGTCATCCCAGTGATAATCTCCTCCTAAGGTTTACAAAGAGGTGAATGAGGATTTCAGCAGCAGATGAGCACAGTCTGGATTAAAGCTGGCAATGTAACAGAAGTGGAAGTAGGTGGTCTTAGTTATGCATTGCAGGAATGTAACCTAAAAAGACAATGAGCAAAAGAAATATTTTAAAAGGGATAACCAAAAGCTTTGTCAAAGAAATGTCTTAAAGAGATATTAAAGAAGATGAAATAGTTGGAAGCCATACGGTTTAGGTAAAGTGTGCAGAGTGGTTGACCTCAGTAGGTAAATATCTGATTAACAGTGGTGCAGTTAAGCAAGGTACACAAGTACTCAAAGTCAAAGAAATAAGGAGTTTGAGGAGATTGTAGAGTTTGAGAACTTTACAGAGATGGGAGGGGAAGCATTGAGGATTTAAACTAAATGATAAGAATTGAGATGATGGGAAACCAATAGCTACTGTTATGATCCTGAACATGATCAGCCGTTTGTTGTGATCCCAGTTACAAGAATTCTTCTTTTAATCTGGCTTGATCGTTTTTTAAAGAATAGAATGCATGAAAGAACCAAAGGTGAGAAAGTAAGTAGGAGGATTTCAGAGTTGAATTGAAATGTCAAAAATTTTTATATGACCTTGAATAAAGCAAGCATAAATGATAAGGCTGTGTTTTGTGGGAACATCACAAGGTGCGAAAATTCCAATTGGCAGACAGTGATATGTCAGTTGGAAGGATAGTCTATTGAGCCAGGACTCAGATGTTCAATAAAGTAGGCAAAGATCCTAGTGCTGTCAACATCACAGTGACATCAACCACACACACACATCCTGCATCTGGGACATCTGTCACCAGAAACTGATTTTACTAGGCTCAGCGCACAGGTGCCGATAGCCATTTTTACATTTTGACCTTAGCATTTAGACCAATTACACCAAATCAGTGATGACTAAATGGAACTTGACTCTAACTTCCAGCATTAACATGATGTAAACGCAAATTAACAGGTAACCTGTACTCGAACACCCCATGGCCTGCATTTCAAATGGGCGTATGTGGTCAAGATAGATCCCACCCAATATTAATGATGCTGTGAGTGGCCAAATCTCTTTAAAATCTTTTATAAGGAATTCCAATTCTACACTTTCAAAGATATTGCTTTGGAACCCTCTGAAAAGCCTCTCCCACTCAGACTGCTTCATTGACTGCTTATATCTTGATAGTTCAATCTCTTCTCCCGAAACCCAGATCCTGTGGACACCCTGAGATGGCTCCCATGCAACTAAATACTCACAAAATTTTAGCTTTTATCAAGCAGCTAGCTTTACTGAGCTGCTACTGAATGTCTCTAAGTTCCCAAATTTCTCAGCTGCATTACTACTTGTAGACTTCTTTCATATCACTCTGAGCAGCACTAAGCTATCAATTGCTCTCAGGGCATTTTGTTTTAGCACCAAACATATTCCACAAAATGGAGACACCACACCCCGAGACGTCATCAGAGCACTTACTGATTGGAGTTTGCTAACAGCAGTACTTGTGTTGCCTAATCACTTCAACCAGTTCAAAACCCTCCCATTCCTACAGCGACTAACTTCTCCCAGCAAATACAATTCTAGGTAACTTGAAACCAGAGAACAATCTTAATCTCCATCCATCTCCTTGATAACATGGCCTGTTCTAGACTGTGCTTAACATGTTTTTTAAGGGTTAGGGAAAGCTTTTAAGATAATTTAACTTGGGCTATCTCTGGTCTGCTTTAATTGCGAGATTTGCAGGCACCACTTCTCCAGTTAGTGTAGGCCAGTTGGCTGTATTTGCAGCTCCAGCTTTTTCTATTCAGTTTCTACCAAACAATCCTGCCTAACCTTCTGAACCATAAGTTGTTTCAGGCATCCTGGCAATCATCAAAGCCCAGCATTTTAATTACCTTACCTTCCTGGTTAGTGAAAGGACAGATTATACAAACATGATAAAACAGCTGTAAATAGGGCTAAAGGGAGAAAAATGTGAAAAAGCAAAATTAATTGCTTCTAACTTGAATACTCATTAGTAATCAGAACAAAATAAAATGATTAAAGGCACAAGTACAGGTTAATGCGTATGATCTTATAGCCATTGCAGAGACATAAGTTACAAGGTGGTGAAAGCTGGGAACTAAATAATCAGGGGTATGACTTTGCAAAAAGACAGGCAGGAAGAATAGAAAGATGGGATTGCTTTGGGTTGAATAGCATTGTTGGTACAGGATGGAGTAAGTAAAATATCAAGAAATGATTTTGGATTGGAAGGCACAGAATCCATATTGGTGGAGGTAAGAAATATAAAACAGAAGATAATACTGGTAGGCAATAGTGAGTTACATGGTGAGTCAGAGAATAAATCAGGAGATAATGAGATCATGTAACAAAGGTAGGACATTAATCATGGGTGAATTTAATCTTCATGCCAGATTGGCAGAGGTAGCCATGAAAGAGAATTCATATTTGGGACAGTTGCCTGGAACAATATATTATGGATCCAACCAGGTATTAAACTATTTTGGATCTGGTGATGTGTAATGAGGCAGATTTAATAAATGATGTTAGGGTAATATATCCCCTAACAAACAGTGACCATATTATGGTAGAATTTAGCATTCAGTTTGAGGCAAAGGAACTTAGGTCAGGAACAACTGTGCTAAGGTTAAATAGGTGTAATTACTAAGGAATGAGGGCAGAGTTGGTTGGAGTGGACTAGAAAAGGAGATTAGCAGCAAACATGGTTGAGGAACAATGGGCAGACATTTAAGAAAATAGTTTTTGGCTCACAGCAAAAATATATCTCAGTAAGGAAGAAGAATTCCAGGAAAGGGATAAGCCAACCATGGTTAACCAGGGAAGTTAATGACAGCATCAGCTTGAAAGAAAATGCATACAATGTAGTAAAGATGATTGGGAATATTTTAAAAACCAATTAAAGACAACCAAAAAAAGAAGAGAGAAGATAAACTTTGAAGCTACACTGCAAGGAACATCAAGATAGCCCACAAGAGCTTCTTTGAATATATAAAACTTAAGAGAGAAGGCAATGTGAATGTAGGCCCCTTAAAGAGCAAGGCTGGGGAAATAGCAATGGGGAATCGGGAAATGGTAGAGGACTTAAATAAATATTTTGTGTCTGTTTTCACAGTAGAAGATGCTAATAGATGCTAAAACTCACTAAATAATCAAGGGACAATAGGAGGACAGGAAATAAATACGTGAACTATCACTAGAGAAAAAGTGCTCAGGAAACTACCGATACATCCCCTGATAGGATACATTCTTGGGTATTAAAGGAAGTAGTTACAGAGAGAGTGGAGGCACCCGGTAGTAATCTTCCAAGGATCTTTAGATTCTGGAACAGTTATAGAGAGTTGGAAAAATGTCAATGAAACACCATCATTTAGAAAGAGGAGACAAAAAAAAAGCTGACTATTATGAAGGATGGAATAACAGAGCATTGACATATACATAATATACAAAAGGGAAATCATGTCTATCAAATTTACCAGACTTGGGATAAGTGAGTGAAAAGTTGGCAGATGGAATATAATGTTGGAAAATGTGAGGATATACATTTTGGCACAAAGAATAGAGTAACTGAATATTATCTGAGTTGAAAAAGACTGCAGAAAGCTACACCACAGTGCAATCCATCAGAGTCAACATGATCATATGAAAGTAAATTGTGTTTGACCAATTTGTTAGTTTTTCAAAAATGTAACAAGCAAAATGGATAATGGGGATCCTGTAGATGTAGTATAACTGAACTTTCAAAAGGCATTTGATAAGGTGCTGTGGAAAAAGTTAATACACAAGTTAAGATCACATGGGATGAGGGTTAATATATTAGCTTGGAGAGGATTGGTGAACAACAGAAAGCAGAGAGACTGAATAAATGGGTCCTTTTCTGGTTGGCAAGCTGTAACTAGTTGGTGCCAAAGGGTTCAGTCCTCAAATCCCATCTATTTACAAATTATGTTAATGATTTGAATGCGGAGATAGAATGTGCTATAGCCAAATTTGCAGATGACACTAAAATAATTGGGAAATTAAGTTGCTAAAGGAATGAAGCATAAAACTAGGGAAGTTGGTGGTACAAGGCATTGGTGAGACTGCATCAGGAGTACTGTGAACAGTTTTGATCTCCTTATTTGAGGAAGAATGCATTGGAGGCACTTCAGTGAATGTTCATTAGGTTAATTTCAGTGGAGAAAGGCATGTCTTATGAGGAGAGAGTGAGCAGCTTAAACCTTCTGAGGAAGGGTCACTGGACCCGAAATAGTAACTCTGATTTCTCTCCATAGGTTCTGCCAGACCTGCTGAGCTTTTCCAGCAATTTCTATTTTTGAGCTTAAACTAATACTTGCTACAATTTAGAAGGATGAGAGGAAATCCAATTGAGGTACATGAGATGTTAAAACGAATTAACAAAGTAGACACAGAGCAAATGTTTCCCCTTGTGGAGCAATCTAGAATGAGAGATCATAGTTTTAGGCTAAGGGGTGGCAGATTTAAAACGGAGATAAGGAGGAATTACTTCTCTCAAAGGATCATGAATCTGTGGAATTCATTACCCAAGACTGCAGTGGACACAGAGACAATGAACAAACTTAAAGAAGAGTTGGATAGATTTTTAATTAGTGATGGGTTAAAGGGTTATTAGGAGGAGGCAGGAAAGCAGCACTGAAGCCAAAATGGGATCAGCCAGGCTCGCATTAAATGGCAGCACAGGTTTGATGGGCTGAATTGCTTACTACTGTTCCTAGTTCTTATGTTCTATCTTCTTACGTTCTTATTGTGTAACACAGAGGGATTTGTGGGTCCTCGTGCACAAATCACAAAAAACTAGCATTGGACTCCAGAAGGTAATGGCAAAAGCAAATGGAGTTTTGGTCTTTATTTCAAAGGGATTGGAGTATAATAGTAGTGAGGTTTAGCTGAATGTATGCAAGGCAGTAGTTAGACCACAGCTGGAATGCTGTGAACAGAGTTGAGCCCCTTATCTGGCAATGGCAGCAGTCCAGAAAAGGTTTACTAGGCTGATACTGGAGGAGAGATTAGGAGGAGAGGTTGAGTAGGTTGGGCCTGTACTCATTGGAGTTTAGAAGAATGAGAGATGACCTTATTGAAACATACAAGATTCTTATGGAATGTGAGTGAGTAAATGCAGAAAAGCTGTTTCCCCTTGTGTGAGAGTCTAAGACCAGACAGCATAACATTAGAATAAGGATTTCACATTTAAGACAAAAATGAGGAGTGAGTTCTTTTCTCAGCAGGTTGTGAATCTATGAAACTCTTTAACACAGTGGGCTGTCAAGGGCTAGTTCATAAGATATATTCAAGGCAAAGATAGACAGGTTTTTAATCATTAAGTTAATCAAGAGTTATAGAGAAAGGGTATGAAAGTCAAATTGAGGATTATTAGATCAGCCATGATCTTGTTGAATGGTGGAGCAGATTTGATGGGCTGAATGGCCTACTTCAGCTTTTGCATCTTGTGGTCTTATTCTCTTAAGGCAATATGACCACATTTTTTAAGTACACTAGACTTCAACGTGCTTCAATTGCATTTACCCATTTTCTAGTATTAAACTTTAATTCTAAAACTGAATATACATTAATACAAGAATCATGAATAAAATATTTGCAATTCCACTGCAGGTCAAGAAGGAATTGGTGTAGGGCAGGTTACAGGTGTTAGATTTTGGATGAATTAAATTTTGAAATATGAAGGGTAGAACATATGACACAGGCAATGGATTTCAGGCAATCTAAAGTGACCAGACAATGACATAGATGAGGGTTTTGATGGTAGGTAAAGAAAGGATAAAGTGCCAAAGATTCAGTTTGATTCTGGCTGAGGCCGTGGTCAAGAAGAGGGATGGAATTGTTTGCAAGAGTATGAAATTTGTGACTGGGAAAATAAAAAAACTCATTTGGTTTTCTCAAAATTTAATTGCAGAAAATTATTGCTCACCCAAGACTAGATAAAACAGTCAGTTGATAGTGTGGCAGAGATGATAGAGCAGTTAAAGAGGTGAGAAATAAACGAGGCTGATTGTCATCAGCTTACATGGGGAAGTGGATCCTACATCTGTTGCCAAGGGATTTTTAAAGTAACGGTGGAAGTAGAGGAGAAGCTATAACTGGATAAACTCTAGCTATGATTAGGTGAGTATGGGGCCACTGATGGGCAATAAAGGAGGGGGGTTAGAGAATGTTGGAACAATCAATTGCGTATGGTTGGCAGGGGGATCAAGGAGATTCTATGACACAGAAAGTTGTGAGGTTTGAAGGAAAATTAAACCAACTTAACAAAAATGATATTTTGTAACAGTTTCTTTTCTTTTTGACCAAGATTAATACATATTTTGCTCTTTTCACAGCTTTCATTAGGAAAGTGTATCTCACCTTAGTGGTTCAATTGTTAATCACCATAGGAATAATCTGCATGTTTCTTTATTGGTAAGTTTGTTTTAAATTTACACTTTCAATGTGTCAGATGGGGCTGTAATATCAGCTATACAATGGTAATGAAGAATAATGCTGTTACAGAAGAGTTAATATTCTGCTGACCCATTAAGATCTAACCCCAATAAGAATCCTTTGTTACAGCTTTCCATGTAGTTATGAAACTGTTTGATAACACCTCCAACCCTCATTGTAAGGGATACTGGCATGGAATTTTCCTCTGCTTGTATTCAGTATACGTAGCAGCGGATAATCAAAGGAAATCACATTGGAAGACTTACTGGCATATTACACCCATACTCGGCCCTCAGATTTTCTCTCTTCTCTTCCACAGGAAATAAGGCTGACTCCTGCATAAAAGTGACGGTACTAATTTGGTGCCTGTGAAACCTGTTCAGTTTGGCGGCCATGCCCGGCTATTGCCATTGAACCAAAGATGTACTTGGAGATTGGTGGTGGTAGATATTTCAGATGCAGAAACCCTGCCAAAACTGATTACTGCAGATGATAAGGCAAATCGATTCTAAAAATAAACATCCAACAGACAATATATATCCCTCGCCATGTCACTAATACCATGAGTGACTTAGTTATAAAGATCAAAAGAAATTTCTAGCTTGATCATAGATCTATGCTAAGTTGCTTGATTTCAGCCACAGTATTGAAATCCCCCTTTTCAACTCTGGAACAGGGGTAGAAAAATCACACTGGTTGAAAAATCAATCACTCATGATTGCAATCAAAAAATTCCTGCTGTATGATCATATGCATTGTACACTATTAACAGTTTTTGAATTTGGATTTTGGAAGTCAAGTCAGGTGGATTTTGGTCTGTTCTGTGAAAGTAATTTATTTTAAATGTAGAAAATTATTGAGAATGATGACCAAAATATAACATTTCTAAGAAGGCATGCGACCCAGTCAAGTGTCAAGTAGGACACCTGTGATGTTAATGAATGGAATATTTACACTACTGAGTTTACAACTGACAGAGAAAATGGATCAAAGACCATTACTTTAGCCTTCAACTACAATTCAGAAGAATTGGGAGTTCACCTCAGAAGGAAGAGCAGTTTCCTCTGAGCAGGAGAATCTAGTTTTCAGTTCAGAAGAGAGTTTTACCTTAGCAGAAGGGTTTAAGTTTGAAAAGATTCAACTGTATTTATGGGGTTGCCAATAAGGCCAATCATATAACATGTGGAAATCCCAATGTGTTCACTGACCACTGAAGATAAAGTTGTAGTAAACAGTAGTAGAGATCCGCATGGCAAATTTTGTAACTGGGCCATCTAGGAAAGGGAGTCATTTGACTGTCCCATGTGAACTTGAGCTCAGCAGAGAGCTGAATAAGACACGTAACAAAATTATTATTAGCAACCTTATAAACAGAGCCTGAATTGTTGTTAACCATTCAAACTTGACGATGAAATAAGGTGCATCAAAGCCATCTTGCAGGATATTGGCTACCATGATCAGGTCATTTCTTATTGTGCATTGCACAAAATCTTGGAAATCTCTAAGGCAGGCACTCTTCATCCTGGAAAGTGCCCAGTCTATCTCAGATTACTCAGATGAAGCTAGCTCTTTCACACTGCTGCTATTTAACAGTAACACAAGTAATGTTCACCACGAATGGGATGTTGCCACCAAGCTAAAAAGACATTCTGTTTATCACACAAATAAGTAGTATGGTTTATGAATTTTAGTAGCAGTATGAGGCCAGGCATGTAGGCCATATGTCCCAGAGGTTTGTGTATCAATACAAACAGCACGTCCCTTTGGACGTTCACAACAAGAAACTTACTGAGCATACTCAAACAGCCTGCACTTGCAAACGTTGTAGGCCAATGCCTAAACTTAGATCTGATTCTGCAACTGGATGACATTTACTGCATAGTTCTGAATGTGCGAGGAATTATGCTGACAACAGATTTAAAATTGTCAGTTGGGCCCACAGTGTGACGTACCTGTGTATATTAGAAGCTACATATATTAATAAGGAGGGCCAGGTTCTTTGTGACAGCAAGAACATGCACAGTACTTGTTTCAACTTAACCAAATACATGACAGTCATTCACAGGTTCACTTTTCAGGGCAATGTCCTGACCAGTCAGAGTCAACTGTCTGAGGGCATATAGGTGCACAGGTGTCATTGGAAAGAGATTGCGTGGAAGAAAGGGAGATTGTTTCAATCTTATTGATAACCTCATGAAGGTGCCCTATTTTATGTAAGCAAGAGGAATTTGTGCATAATATTCCACCTTTTTCATCAAAACACATCTGTCATGGAGTTTGCCAGTCTCCGCTGCATTCCCAAAGCAACACATTGAACAATCAGAATCTACCAGCCTCATCTGAGAATGAAGATTGACAATTAACTGTTCTTACTGCATCTTTATCCCAAAGGTGACATAACCAATTACCATCCTCTTGACATGCTCTATGATTTGGTGTCCCTTTTGTCAAGCCTGTTTCTTGATCTAATCCTGATGATTGCAAGATGAAAAGCTTTGATTTGTTGTCACCTATTAGCAATGCTTATTGCTGATTATGGGAATTTACTGTTGACTGGTGTATTTTTGACCTTTCTTTTTTGGATAATTATGGCAAACAATCACTGTTAATCTGCAAAATGCCTATAAAACACATGAGGAAAGCCTCAGTGGAGGAGAGGTTTGCCTGTTGTGTTTCCTATGTTATAATAGTAACAACCAATGTTCCCAGTAACATTTTGTTGTACTGTGCAGAGCTTTGAGGGCCATGTGCAGCAACCACTGTGTTGCCTGTTTGGCAGTTGCAGAACCTCCCAGCAACTGTAAGGCCATGCACCTTAAAGAGAATGTTGGTGACAACATTTCAAAAGTAAAAAATTGGCTGTAGAGACTTTTGGACATCCTGAGGCTGAGAAAGGTGCAATATGAAGGCATACCTTTACTTCTTTATTCATTTCTATTAGGCAGCTACTAGGATTGTAGAAGACATGGTCTTTAATTGTCTAGGAATTACTATGTTTCTATATATAATTAATGACTGAGAATCACAAAAAGAGAATATCCTGTTAAAAATTTCCCCCAGGGTTTCCCAATGATTTGAGGTAAAGTTATGTCTAGACACCCATGCAGACTGCCAAGTTCACTTCTTTGATTCCCACTCTATGATAATTTGTTGGGTCGGCAAATACCAAAATTGGCCTCCACCTCTCTTACTGATGAAGTGGAAAATCTGGCATGGTACAGATGCCAGATATGTCTATGCTGTTATAAATGAGTCCAAAAGGGTGAATATTGAGGTGAGCCATAAGAACCTTGCACTATGATGTGTCATATGGACTCTGGGCAGAACAGCATGGGGATCTCGAAGGTGTGACAACTAACATCTCGTCCTCCTTAAAATTTCTGTTACAATGTTTATCATATCAATGTAGCCTGCAGCTGGTTGCCAACATGCAATAAATACACTGAAAACAAAAAATGCTGAGATCGCAGTGGGTCAGGCAGCATCCACTGAGAGACAGCAACGTTTCGATATAGATGACCCTTTAATTTGTTACTGGACCCCGTCGACCCTCTGAGCTTGTTTGAGCTGAGCTTACCCACACCCTAACCACTAGCCAGCAGCAAGTATTCACATTTGTGAATTATAGCTTCTGTTGGAGTTTTGCTGCCTACAGAGTGCCGAACCTGTCAATCAGGTTCATTCCTGGCCATGGGGGATGGGTGTTGGGTGATTCCTATTTGCAACAGTTACAACAGTGCTCATCACCACCATTGTTCACATAATATTGCAATCTTATGGTCTGAAGTTCAAGCTGCAAACTGTTTACCCAGTACCCATACCTCCTCCCTCACCCCCATCCCAGGCCCCAAGAAGACTTTCCACATCAAGCAGATGTTCACCTGCACATCTGCCAATGTGGTATACTGCATCCGCTGTACCCGGTGTGGCTTCCTCTACATCGGGGAAACCAAGCGGAGACTCGGGGACCGCTTTGCAGAACACCTACACTCGGTTCGCAACAAACAACTGCACCTCCCAGTCGCGAACCATTTCAACTCCCCCTCCCATTCCTCAGACGACATGTCCATCCTGGGCCTCCTGCAGTGCCACAACGATGCCACCCGAAGGTTGCAGGAACAGCAACTCATATTCCGCTTGGGAACCCTGCAGCCCAATGGTATCAATGTGGATTTCACAAGTTTCAAAATCTCCCCTCCCCCTACCGCATCCCAAAACCAGTCCAGCTCGTCCCTGCCTCCCTAACCTGTTCTTCCTCCCACCTATCCCCTCCTCCCACTTCAAGCCGCACCTCCATCTCCTACCGACCAACCTCATCCCGCCCCCTTGACCTGTCCGTCCTCCCTGGACTGACCTATCCCCTTCCTAACTCCCCACCTACACTCACCTTTACTGGCTCCATCCCCGCCTCTTCGACCTGTTTGTTTCCTCTCCACCTATCCTCTCCTCTATCCCTCTTCTATCCGCCTCCCACTCTCTCCCTATTTATTTCAGAACCCCCTTCCCCTCCCCCTTTTCTGATGAAGGGTCTAGGCCCGAAACGTCAGCCTCTCTGCTCCTATGATGCTGCTTGGCCTGCTGTGTTCATCCAGCCCTGCACCTTGTTGTCTCGGATTCTCCAGCATCTGCAGTTCCTACTATCTCTGATTCAATCTACCCCATTCTTATATTGTTTAATCATCCAATTACGTCACCTCAAATATCATGTCTCCTAATCTTGCAGGAAGCCAGGAAAGCACAATTGGAACCGACTTATCTGTCATTCGGCAGGACACATGCCTTGGAGCCTTGCATTTAATTAGTTTCCTTCAGTAATTTTTTCATTATCCTTAAACTAACTTGCCTACTATTAATTGTATTATTTCTTATGGTTTTACAACCATGGTGTAAACATCATATATTATAATCTAATTCTCATCTGCTGCCTCATGTTTTTCTTGTGGTTAGTAACAGGCAAAGTCCAGCTCTGTAGTGATGAATGATTGCTTTTGGATTGGAGGAAAATATACAATGGGTTTTCCCATGGTTTGTTAATAGGACCAAGATGTTTCCTTTAATGACCTTAAAAATGAGTGTGCGGGAAGTAATTTCAATGTTTGTAAATTATGCAATAATATAGCACTGTGAACTATGAATAGGATAGTTATAAATTTCATAATCAGTCTTGATGAATGGTTAGACACGTGGCAGATGCAAGTTAAATAGTGAAATATAAAGTGACTCATTTCGGTCAGAAGAATATACTGAAACAGTGTAACATAAAGGATGTTCATGGCATTGCAGGAGCAGAGGGACTTGGGATATATATGTACATATTATTGAAGAATTCAGAGAGTAGTAAGGGCGTGGAATGCCCTGCCTGCAAAAATAGTAGACTTGCCCACTTTAAGGGCATTTAAATGGTCATTGGATAAACATATGGATGATAATGGAATAGTTTAGGTTAGATGGGCTTCAGATTGGTTTCACAGGTCGGCGCAACATCGAGGGCCGAAGGGCCTGTACTGCGCTGTAATGTTCTATGTTCTATGTTCTATGTTCCAGGTGGTGCATTGTGGTCATGTCAGCGGACTAGTAATACAGAAACCCAAGCTATAGCTCTGAGCAGATGTGTTTGAATACCCAATGACAGTTGTTGGAATTTAAATTCAATTGATAAATCTGGAATGTAAATGTAGTCTCAGTGATGGTGACCATGACAATTCAACAATTGTTATAAATCCCTTTTTGATTAACCAATGTCTTTTAGAGAATGAAGTCTTCTGCCCTTACCCAGTCTGACCTGTGTGATGCACAGAAATGTGGTTGACTCTCAGTTGCCATTTGAAATGATCTAGCAAGCCACACATTCAATGGCAATTAGGGATAGGCAATAAATGCACACATCCCATGAAAATATAAAGAAAACAAAGGCACCAGTGCAAGTTAAGAAAGTGTTGATAAGGCATGAGGTATCCTTGATCTATAAATATTAACCAGTACAAGGAAACCATAGTGACCATTTAAAGAACTCTAGTCAAACCTCAATTGATAATTGCATCCAATTCTAGGTATCACACTTTAGGAAGGAAATAAAGGTATTAGAGGAGGTGCAGAAGATATTTATATGAATCATTTCAGGGATAAGGAACTTCAGAAATGTGTGCAGATTAGAGAAGCTGGGGCTGTTCTACTTGAACAAGAAAAGTTTAAGAGCAGAATCCACAGAGATGCTCAAAATCATGAGGTGTCTGGCCCAAGCTATAAGGGAGAAACTATTGCTGGATGGTTTGAGAAGCAAAGGACACTGATCTAAAATGAATGATAAAAGAAAGAGACATTTGAAGAAAAATTGTTTTACATAGGGTGTAGTCAGGATTTGGGGAGGATCTATTGCCTGAGAAAGTGGTGGAGGATAGATACAATTGTAGCTTTAATAAGGCAATTCGATGATCATCTAACGAGAAAAAACGTTTGCAGGTACAAGGAGAAAGCAGAGTTGTGGGAATAGTGGATTTGTTTTAGCAGAGTAAAAGCCAGAATAACTGCGGATGCTGTAAATCAGGAACAAAAACAGAAGTTGCTGGAGAAGCTCAGCAAGTCTGGCAGCATCTGTGAAGAAAAAATCAGAGTTAACGTTTCGGGTTCGGTTACCCTTCTTTAGAGCGGAGGAAGGGTCACCAGGCCTGAAATGTTAACTCAGATTTTTTCTTCACAGATGCTGCAAGATCTGCTGAGCTTTTCCAGCAACTTCTGTTTTTGATCTGCAGATAGCTGATATGTACAACACAGGCTGAATGGTCTCCTTCTGTGCAGTAACCATTCTGTGACTCAACAATTCTATGATATTCATCTCTTCAAAGGTTTCTGTTAACTGATGGCAAGGAATACTTTATCAGTGTTGCCTTGGTAAATGCCTGAAATTAATGTATAATCTAAGCTAACTTGTCTATGATGCATATTTACATCAGTCATTTTATGTTTTAAGTCTGACAAACATGGAATGCAGGGAGAACTAGCCATTTGGATACAGAACTGGCTAAAGGTAGAAGACAGAGGGTGGTGGTGGAGGCTTGCTTTTCAGACTGGAGACCTGTGACCAGGGGTGTGCAACAAAGCTGGATCCATTGTTTTTCAACATTTATATAAATGATTTGGATGTGAACATAGGAGGTATGGTTATTAAATTTGCAGATGACACCAAAATTGGAGGTGTAGTGGACAGTGAAGAAGGTTACCTCAGAGTACAATGGGACCTTGATCAGATGGGCCAATGGGCCGAGGAGTGGCAGATGGAGTTTAATTTAGATAAATACAAATGCTGTATTTTGGAAAGGTGAATCAGGGCGAGACTTACAGATTTAATGGTAAGGTCCTGGGGAGTGTTGCAGGTTTATAGTTCCTTGAAAGTGGAGTCACAGATAGACAGGATAGTGAAGAAGGCATTTGGAATGCTTGCCTTTATTAGTCAGTGCATTGAGTATAGAAGCTGGGAGGTCATGTTGTGGCTGTGCAGGACATTGTTTAAGCCACTTTTGGAGTACTGTGTGCAATTCTGGTCTCCCTGCTTTAGGAAGGATATTGCGAAACTTGAAAGGGTTCAGAAAAGATTTACCAGTGTTGGAGAGTTTGAGCTATAGGGAGAGGCTGAATAGGCTGGGGTTATTTTTCCTGGAGCATCGAAGGCTGAGGGGTGACCTTATAGAGGTTTATAAAATCATGACGGGCATGGATAGGGTTAATAGCCAAGGTCTTTTCCCCAGAGTGGAGGAGATCAAAACTAGAGGGCATGGGTTTAAGGTGGGGGAGAGATATAAAAGGGACCTTAGGGGCAACTTTTTCACACAGAGGGTGGTACGTGTGTGGAATGAGCTGCCAGAGGAAGTGGTGGAGGCTGGAACAATTTAAAAAGCATCTGGATGTGTGTATGAATAGGAAGGGTTTAAAGGGATATGGGCCAAATGCTAGAAAATGGGACTAGGTTAATTTAGGATATCTGGTTGGCATGGACAAGTTGGACCGAAGGCTCTATTTCCATGCTGTATAGATCTATGACTCTATGACTCTCAGTCACACTGTTCTTGATCACTATACAGTGACCTATAAGAACACTGGTACCAATTTTCTGGGCCAAATGTCATGGTGTCCACTTTTATAAGAAATTGGACTTGCTAGATTATCTCACATCAACTGGATGTGAATATATTATGTTTACATTACCAATCATCCATTACCTACACAAGATACTGAGTGATTCAATTAAGCCTTTCTTGCCCATAATCAAAGCAAATGTCAGCGTTAACAAT